GTCATGCGATCAAAATTCAGTTGCTTGGCAACTCGTGCATATTTATTATTGTCCTGGGGTCACGTGATCAGAATTAGCCACCTTCCCAGCAGGCTCCTGACAAGCAAAGTCAATGGGGGAAAGCCAGATTCACTTAATGACCGCATGATTCACTTAACCACCTCAAAAACGTGTGGCAAAAAAAGGTTGTAAAATGGGGCAAAACTCAACTGCCTTGCTTAACCACAGAAATTTGGGACTTAATAGTGGTTGTAAGTCAAGGACTCACTGTACATCAACCTGTCCTACCTGGTCAAGCAGAGAAAGTAGGTTACGGACCCGTCAGTTAAAGAAGAGAACAGCCTTCTTTGCTGTTGCCCACACCAACAGTGGGATTCCATTTTTTTTTACTACTGGTTCTGTGGGTGTGGCTTTGTGGGCGTGGTTTTGTGGGCGTGGCAGGGGAAGGAGACTATAAAATCCCCATTCCCTCCCCACCCCACTAGCCTGCTTTCCAGCTCCGTTCTCCTGTGCAGGGCAACCAAAGGAGACCCAGCCGATCAGCTGGGACTCAATGGGAGGCAGAGAAGGGATGGGGTTGGCGGGGCCAGTCAGAGGTGGGATTTCCTGGTTTTCCGAACTACTCAAAATTTCCACTACTGGTTCTCCAGAACTGATCAGAACCTGCTGAATACCACTTCTGGCCCCCACCCTGTAGACCATGTGTCCCCAACCCGAGGTCCGTGGATCGGCACCGGTCCGTGGCATGTCAGAAACCAGCCCACACAAACAAGCGAAGCCCCATCCATGGGATGCAGGCACCACGTGAAACCGCACCCGCTCCCGGTCCATGGAAAAGCCTCTCTCCACAGAACCGGTCCCTGGTGCCCCAAAGGTTGAAGGCTGCTGCTACCCTGGTGTGTCAGACTCCATTTCATTGAGGGCAGCATCGGCTGTGGTTGACCTCAGAGTGGGCGGGCTGACTGGGTGGGCGTGGCCAGCTTAACGCCACTCACTGGGTGTGGCTGACTGGGTGGCCGTGGTCAGCTTGACACCACTCACTGGGCATGGCCGACTGAGTGGGTGTCACTCCCCAAATTGTTAGCATGTTTCCTCTTCCCATTGGGTAGACCGGGCCGAAGTAATGCGGGACGGCCCCTTACATTTTCCAGGACGGGCCTGCAGAACAGATCCGACCACATCGCGGGCTGGATGTAGCCCATGAGCCTTGAGTTTGACACCCTTGCTATGGAATATCCCCCACTTTCCTGGCCTTTGAAAAGGAATTAACTCATGCTCTGCGCCTTTGCTTGGGGCACATGGAGGAGCACACAGCGGAGGGGCTGGTTAGCGCCTGGAGACCCCCTCTCTTTGCCTTTTTAACTGATTTTTAACGGGGTTTAATTATCCTCGCCTCCTTCTCAATTTTAAACGTTCATGTGCCAATTTTATATTTTAACTTTTTAATTAATTGTACAGCACGCAGAGTCCTTCTCTGAGGGAAATTGCTGGTTTAAAAACATAAAAATTAAAAATAAATAAAAATCATGAGTTAGAGTTGAATTTGGAGGCTTGATAAACTTCCCCAGATGGGCTCCTCCAAATTCGGGAGAAAATAAAAATACTTGTGAGATGCTTTGAATGTTTAAAATAGAGAGATATACAGCACTTTAATACTTTTCTTATTGTACTGTTCCACCATTTTGTAAAGTAGCCTGGAGCAATTCACAGCATCAGAATAGTAGGTTTCTGTTTAAAATGGACTGGAATTCATTAAAAATGCAGCTTTTACTTTGTTGTGAAGGTTGAACTTTGGAAGGGCCGCATCCTAAATAGAGATTTGTAGATCAAGTCTTGATACTCCCCCTGTAAACTCCCCATTTTTTAATGTTGCTTTGTGACAATGAAGGCTGAGAATCTATTAGGGAGAAGAGAGAGGCAGATTGTACCAGTATTTAATTTCCCATTTGGTTAAGAATTGATTTTAAAAAGCCACAGCCAACAAAGATGGCCTATCAAATATCAAGAATCTAGGAGCAAAGCCACCCTTTGGGCTTCAGGCCAATCACTTAACAGATAAACGACCTTCCAACAATAAAACATCAACCTACCCATGTCGGCTTTTATTGGCTGTTTATTTATGATTGCACTCTTTTCACAGACAACGATAACTGACTGCCCTGGCCATTGACTTCCTCACAAGCCATCAGGATCAGGGAACGTGATAGTACCGCTTTACACCCCACTAGTGAGGCCACATTTACATCCAGTTCTGGTCAACACAATACAAAAAGAAAAGGATGTGGAGACTCTAGGACGGGGATGTCAAACTCAAGGCCTGAGGGCCAGATCCAGCTCACGGGGCCGGCCTGGAAATAGCAGACCAGCCCGCGGTGCCTCTCTTAGCAAAAATGGAGCTCGGGGGAGTTGCGTGTGGGCCGGCCTCCCTGCGCCCAGTTTTTTGGCCACGACGGACTCCCACGGCCCTCTGCCAACGAAAAGGGAGCTCCCTTTTCACTGGCAGAGGGGCTATCAAAGCAAATTAAAGAAAACAAAAGGAGAAACGTTTCCCCTTTTGCACTTGAGCAGGCAAGAAGGGACAGGAAAGGGGAAAGGGAAAGAAAAAGAAAGGAAGATGGGAAGAGAGCAAGGAAGGAAAAAGAAGGAAAGGGGAAGGAAGAAGAAAGGAGAAGGAAGAGGGAAGGGAAGGAAGGAAGGAAGGAAGGAAGGAAGGAAGGAAGGAAGGAAGGAAGGAAGGAAGGAAGGAAGGAAGGAAGGAGATTATAATGAGAGTGGGGGAGGGTCTCAGGGAAATCCTGCCTTAGTACTTGGTCAGCACAGGTGCCCTGTGTCCCGCCCACCCTCAGCCACGCCCAATTTTTTTCTGGAAATCCATTCGTATTCCCACACCATGCAAAGTATGCCTTGAGCAGTGGGTTAGACTAGAAGACCTCCGAGGTAACTTCCAGCTCTGTGATCCTATGATTCTTCCTTGTCTTCCTCTTTACATTATAGAAGATTTCTCTCTTTCCCTTTTTCCCTCCCTTTTCCTCTCCCTTTCTCTCTCTCTCTCCCTCTCTCCCTTTCCCCTCCATTCCCTCTGAACATAAGAATACCTTACCTTAATTTTTATTAAAGGAGCTCCGTTTTTTCTCAGGTAGAAATTTTCATTGCAGATTAATGGCTCTGACTGATCTGAAGCTCATATCAGGCTAGCTTGATGCTGGATTCCATTAAAAAGAGAAGAGCCACCGAGGTTACCCGTTGGTGATAGTTAGCCTTTTTTCCCCCTGTGAACATTTGACCTTAGCTAGAATATTTTAGAGGTGCTTTTATGTGTGTCAGGAGTGTGTGTTGTGAGTAGTCCTTTGTGCAGTGGTGGGTTTCAGTTGTTTTTTTTTACCACCGGTCCTGTGGGCGTGGCTTGGTGGGCGTGCTTTGTGCACGCGCAGAGGGTTTGCTATTAACCTTCTCCTGCAATCCTGCACCCTCCCCGTATGTTCAACAATTGATGCGTGGCAATCCGCTGTGCTGAGCGAAGCAGCTGAGCTTCAAAATCAGGAAATAAAGGTCAGAATAGAGCCGGGGCAGGTGGGTGGGCCCAGCAGCCGATTGTCGGAGCGAACCAGTATGCGCACAGGTGATCCTTGGAGTTACCAGTTCAGCCGAACCAGTAGAATACCACCACTGCTTTGTTGTGATTATACATCTTGCAAAATAATTATAAATCTCTGTGTTGGGCTGGATAGCCAGCCATAATGTTGGCCAAAAGTATCACGTCTAACTTGAAGGAGGCTTAGGGAAACACCCCCCCACTAATATTAGATTTCTGGATTAGCCATGGCGATTAAGACAACTAGTTCAATGAATATTTATGGCCTCAAGGAATACTCAGTTCAATCAACAATACCACAGTGGTCCATTAGATTCGACCTCAGTTGAATGGCCAAGTGGATAGTGCTGTTTTTCACACAACACAATGTGAGGGTTTTGCCCTGATAATATTAGCTATTTGATTAAAGAAATGTCTGCAAGAAACCAGCCAAACTCAGGGAGCTCCAAGGACCCCATAAGAGATCAACACTCCCACCCTCACTGATAGGCCAAACCACTTGTATGTAAACAGTGGGCGAACCCACTCTCTTCTAGCACTGATGATGTTACCTAGTTGGGCCATGAAACGTCTGCAAGGAAACAACCAAGCTCAGAAAGCACTGAGGAGCCCATAGAACAGATTCGATAAAAAAATTCATTTTAAGTCTCGATTAGAGATCACTCACCCTGGAGAAACTTTATGTGGTCAGTAAGAGTTAACACCAACTTGAAGGAGAGGTTGTGCATGGTGTCAGATTCCTCCTTCCGACAAGTTTGAGTTAGTAAGAACTATCGGGGAACTTGGTGGGTTTGGCTTTTGTAAAAAATAAAGTTAACTATGGTGATTTCATGGCAAGATGAAATGCTACCCAGGCCTGACCCTACTTAGTGTTTTTACCACACCTAATTGACTCCAGTGGAAGATGCCTGAGCTGGTGGAAGGAGGCCCTTTGCTAGCAGATGTCGTTTTTTCTTGTGCCTAATGATCTTTATGGGGGGGGGGGGTGTCACTCCTTATCTGGATGACTTAAGAAAGGAATACTTTATTTATTTATTTATTTGCTTGTTTGTTATATTTGCATTCCACCATTATTATTTGTACAAATAAGTCAAGGCAGCAAAGATATCTAACATACCTTCCTCCTCTTATTTCCCTACAGAAATAACCTTGTGAGGTAGGTTGGGCTGAGGGAAAAAGGCTGGCCCAAAATCACTCAGCTGGCTTTCATGCTTTAGGCGGGATTAGAATTCATTGTCTCCTGTAATTGACGCAAAATCACCCAGCTGGCTTTCATGCCTAAGGCGGGACTAGAACTCACACTTTCTAGCCTGGTGCCTTAATCCTTAGAATTCCTGGTCTTCCAATATAATGAAATCGAATGTAAATTGCTCTGCTGACCTTCCACTTTCTGTGCTATGATACCCAGGTGCTGGTGAGCGAGGACTCCGATAGTGACGGCATCGTTGCTCACTTCCCGGCCCATGAGAAGCCCATTTGCTGCATGGCTTTCAACCCCAGCGGTAAGCATTTTTTTTTCTGGCAGTGCATTATGGATCATTTCGCTTGTTAGAAATCAGGCTGAAATCTTTCATGGAGTTTGTTTTGTCAGCCAGCTGAAATAGTGGTTCAAAATGGTACATTGGCAGCAGAACAACCTTCTCTCTTGCTTTGATTCTAAATACACAGGCCACATTTCTTATCGGATCTGTTCTGACCACCCACTACAACTCCGACCATCCTGATCCCCAAAAGAGCATCCTTTCCTTTTAATTGCAGATAGTCCTACTTACGACCATAAACAGAGCCCAAAATTTCCACTGCTAAGCAAGAGAGTTGTTACGTGAGGTTTGCCCTATTTTATGACCTTTCTTGCCGCAGTTGTTAAGTGAACCACTGCTGTTGTTAAGTTTAGTAACACAGTTGTCCCAGCGGTGCTTTTTTCAAAAGGCAACTGGACTTCCCACCCCACTTTTGAAGGCGTTTCGCTTCTCATCCAAGAAACTTCTTCAGTTCCGACAGTTGTTAAGTGAATCTGGCTTCCCCCCACGGACTTTGCTTGTCCGAAGGTCGCAAAAGGGGATCACGTAACCAGGGGTGGGATTCTACCAGTTCGCACTTATTCGCTAGAACCGGTTATTAACATTCTAAGCAGTTCGGAGAACCGGTTGTTAGAAGAAATTACTGGCCTAATCCTGTAAGGAAGGCAGGAAGGAAACATTCTGGTGTTACTTACAGAAACTGCCTCTCCGTTAACCCTTATTACATTCTTGGCAGGACTAGACTTCCTGTCTCAGGAACGTCTCTGGAGTTGTTTCCTCTCCTTTGCTGGTACTTTGCTTGTGTGGAGTGACCAATCAAAGTTACAATGGCACTGAAAATAGTGACTTATGACCATTTTTCACACTTACGACTGTTGCAGCATCCCCACAGTCATGAGAGGCCAGGCGAGGTGATGCGTGCCTCGATGTGAGTGATATTGAGTTGGCCACATCCAGCCAATAACATGACCACCAAGCCACGTCCACCCAGTCGCATGACCACCAAGCCACGCCCACCAACCAAGCCACGCCCACAGAACTGGTTTCAAAAAATTTGAATCCCACCCCTGCACATAACCCTAGGACACTGCAACCGCCCTAAATACATGCCAGTTGCCAAGCATGTGAAATTTGATCACGTGACCACAGGAATGCTGCAACGGCCATAATTGTGGGAAGTAGTCATCGGTCGCCTTTTTCAGTGCTGTTGTAACTTTGAACGGTCACTAAATGAACACTTGCAAGTCTAGCACTAGCTGTATGTTTGCAAACATTGGGAAAAGCTACTATATTGGGAACCACCTGAACTGTCTTGACCAAAGCTATTAAGCAAGAGAAAAGGGAACGATCCTTCTGAGGGCACCCATTTTCTCCAACCACATTTAGAAAACTGCAGCATTAAATTTACATCGGGTCAAGATGTCACCGCCAATAAATGTAGGAAATGGGCATTAATGTACTTGAAAAGTCAGGTAATTGAAGGTTCCTCTTCTCTGTCATTTCCCATTGGAAGAACAATATGCCTGCCTCCCTTGAAAAATTTACTTGATTTCTTGAGGTTTGTGTAAATATTCTCCTAAATTTAATACCACTTATCCTTTTCCACTTAAGGCTTAACCTGGAGATGTAGCTCAGATGTCTGTTCTACTCCAATTTTTCCCCAGGTGGGAGTGAGGGGGAAGCCATCCGAAAGTGGTCTTTGAAGCCTCAATGACAGTCGTTTTGCCTTATCTCTTTTCTTTTCTTCTTTTCTCCTCTCCTCCTCTCCCCCCTCCCCTCCCCCTCCCCTCTCTTCTCTCCACTCTTCTCCCCTCTCCCTCCCTCTCCCCTCTCCCCTCCCTCTCTCCCCTCCCTTCCCTTCTCAGCTGGATAAGGCTTGTGGGCAAGCAGTCTCCATACTGTTCTCACATGGACTGGCTAACTTCTTTATTGGCTTCCTGTGTCATACAGATAATTCTTGATTTACAACCACAGTTCAGCCCCACACTTTTGTTGCTAAGTGGAACTTTTGTTAAGCGGGTTTTGCCCCATTTTATGACCTTTCTCACCACAGTTGTTAAGTGAATGATCGTAGGTTTTAAGTTAGTAACACAAACGTTAAGTGAATCCTGGCTTGGGGAAGTGAACCCAGCAGAATGCAGAACCATCTCAGTTAATGTATTCATTCAAACGATTTTTAACTTGCTGTTTCCTGCAGTGGCCACTCTCACAGTGACTAGAAGAATATAATTGCTACGAAATTCAGTCAAGCAACTTTACTTTCGGCCAAAAGGGCCAAAAGATGGAGGAGGAGGATATTTAAAAAAAAAGAAAAGCAAATAAGATAGTATAACAAAGCCAATTATTTTCACAACAGCCTATAGAATTGGTTAGGTAAAGCAGTTGGCCAAGATCATTCTGTGCTTTGGTAGCGGAGGGGAGAGGGAATCAGAACTGGGTTCCCTTGAGGCTGAAGTTCCTACTACTCCTAGTAGGCTGTTAATACTGGCTTAGACCACCTAGTGAGTCGAAAGGTGCTTTAGCTCATGGTGTGCCAGAAGCCCATCTAAAGTTCCCAAGAACGTTCTCCTACTTGAAGTTTTGCAAGAAATAATTTAAACCTCCCCCTTATTTAAAATGGTCCAAACAGTTTACAAACATTGAGGATGCTACAGTGACCTTGATAAAAACACATCTGACCTGCAAATGTAAATCCTCAAGCGTTTCGTCAGAGGCAGAGGCGCCTTGGACTGCAGATTGGGAGGTTCTCACAGACGGAAGGAATCTGCCCCATTGGGGGGGGTGGAAGGGGGGGGCGGGAGGAGGCTGATTTAGGAGTTTATGAACTGGCCTCCAAGCAATTAATGTTGTAGGCAATGGTCTGCCCAGAATATGTATTCATTCATTCATATTCTCTCTCTCTCTCTCTCTCTCTCTCTCTCTCTCTCTCTCTCTCTCT